AACCTTTTTTGATATACTAAGAGGACCGTTATTAGCATGTTTTAACCACTCCTATGTAAATGGTAGATTATCAGACACTCAAGAAGAAGGTCTGATTTCATTATTACTGAAACAGGATGAAAAATATAAAGATCCAGTCCATTAAAAAAATTGGAGGCCCCTTACACTTCAGTGTTGTGATGCAAAATGTCTAGCAAAATATATAGCGCATAGATTTAAAAAGGTATTGTCGGACATTATTCATTCTAATCAGACAGGTTTTTTACATGGAAGATACATTGGAGATAATATAAGGCAAGTACTGGAAGCAATAGAACACTATGGAAAATCTCTGAAACCAGGCCTGCTATTCATAGCAGACTTCGAAAAGGCATTTGATAAAGTACGACTGGGGTTTATATATAAATGCCTGGAGCATTTCAATTTGGGAGAATCTCTTATGAAATGGGTCAAAATCATGTATAGTAACCCTGGGTGTAAAATAGTAAATAATGGCTATTTCTCAGAAAGTTTTTAAACTGTCAAGAGGAGTGAAACAAGGTTGTCCACTATTGGCATATCTATTTATTATGGCCATCGAGATGTTAGCTATTCAAATCAGATCCAACAATAATATTAAGGGATTACAAATCCAGGGCTTAAAAACAAACAAAGGTGTCATTGTACCCTGATGATTCATGTTTTCTTTTAAATCCACAACTAGAATCCCTCCACAGCCTCATAGAGGATCTAGAGACATTTTTTAACCTCTCTGGATTACAACCAAATTATGACAAATGTACTATATTACGTATTGGGATCACTAAGAAATACAATATTTACATTACCATGTAGTTTACCAATAAAATGGTCTGATGGTGATGTGGATATACTCGGAATACATATCCCAAAGGATATAAATGATCTCACTCCAATACATTTTAATAGAAAGTTAGCAAAAATTGATAAGATCTTGCTACCATGGAAAGGTAAATACCTGTCAATTTGTGGAAAAATCACCCTGATTAACTCTTTAGTATTATCCCAGTTTACCTATTTGCTTATGGTCTTGCCTACGCCTAGCGAACAGTTTTTTTAATTATATGAGAAAAAAAGATTCCATTTTATTTGAAACGGCAAGCCAGACAAAATTAAACGGGCCTATTTATATAATGAATATGAATTCGGAGGACAGAAATGATTAAATATTAAAGCATTAGACCTATCACTAAAAGCTTCAGTCATACAAAAGTTATACTTAAATCCGAACTGGTTCTCTAGCAAGTTAGTAAGATTGTCTCACCCAATGTTCAAGAATGGCCTTTTTCCCTTTATTCAGATTACAACCTCTCACTTTCAGTTATTTGTAAAGGAAATCATCTCCCAAATATCACTATTTCTAAAACAAGCCATAGAAAGTTGGTTGCAATTTCAATTTAATCCTCCAGAAACAACAGAACAAATAATGCAACAAATATTGTGGTTAAACTCAAATATACTAATTGACAAAAAAAGGTATAATCTTCGTAAATGATATCATCGGGAGGACTGGTGGAGTTATGTCGCACATGCAGCTAACAAAAACATATGGAAATGTCTTCTCTACCCAAAATTACTGTCACGCCCTGGCTCTGGGGACGCTTGTATGTTGAGCCAGGGGGTGAGTGTTCTTTGTGTTGTTCTAGTTTTGTGTTTCTAGGGTGTTCTAGTTATTGTGTTTCTATGTTGGCCAGAGTGGTTCTCAATCAGAGGCAACGAGTGTCAGCTGTTGCTGGTTGTCTCTGATTGGGAACCATATTTAAACAGTCTGTTTTTCCACAGTATTTGTGGGATCTTGTTCCTGTTGTAGGTTTGTACGTCACGTATCGTTTTTGTTATTTTGTTCGTGTATCAATATAAAAGCATGTTCGCAAATAACGCTGCGCATTGGTCCTCTGTATACGACGATCGTGACAATTACAACCAAATAATTGCAGCCTTACCGCAAAAATGGAAGAGGAAAGTGGAAGGGGGAGAAAGTAAGGAACTTGTCTGTCGGCCTTGCACTAAATAACATAGTTGGTTAAAGAAAACTGTGATAAATAAAAAAGTATACCAGTTTCATTTAAGGACCAAAGGATTGACAGCCGTCCCATATAGATTGTAAAATAGTTGGGAAGAGATTGACGTACCGATACCATAGTGTTTATGAACTGATACGCAAAACGACACCGGATTCAAAACTTATAATCTTTCAATTTAAATTATTATATACAATTCTTGCTACCAATATAATGTTATTTATATGGGGGATACAATCTTCCCAGCTCTGCAGGTTTTGCTGCAAAGAGACAGAATCATTAGATCATTTGTTTTGGTACTGTCCATTTGTCGCTTGTTTTTGGACACAGGTCCAGGAATGGCTAAAGGATTGCAATATTTACCTGGAGCTAACCTTGCAGATAGCATTACTGGGTGATCTGAAAAATCATAGTCAATCGATCAATAATATAATCATACTTTTAGCAAAAATGTTTATTTTCAATTTACAATCTGTAGAAACCATGAGAATAGAAAGGTTCAGAACTTTTGTAAAACATCACAGTACAGTTGAAAAATATATGGCAAATAGAAATCCTATATGGACGGTGTTAAGAGATAGATGGGTGGTGTTGATGTCACGCTCGTTGAGTAAATGGTCGGACCAAGGTGCAGCGTGGTATGCGTACATGTTTAAATATTAAATAAACACTTGACAAAAGAACAAAAGCAACAGAACATGAAGTTCTAAAGGCTAACAGCAACAAGCCGAAACAGAAACAAGATCCCACAACATAGGTAGGCAAAATGGCTGCCTAAGTATGATCCCCAATCAGAGACAACGATTGACAGCTGCCTCTGATTGGGAACCACACCCGGCCAACATAGAAATAGATATACTAGATATGTCAACATTCACACCCTGACCAAACTAACTAGAGAATAACAGGGTTCTCAAGGTCAGGGCGTGACAGTTGAATGGAGTTGAAGGATGGGACTAATAACAACAACTAATAACAAGATAACTAATAATGTAAGCATACTGTGTCCATAATAAGTATATAGGTTGTAGGTTGGGAGCTTTTGTGAAAGATCACAGTTAGAAAGATATGGCATATAGAAGCAAACCGGATGGACATCATGAAAATAATCGGAGAGGTTGAGTAGGAGAAAGTTCAGGAGAAAAAACAAACAAAATATAATTATTGTAAAATTGACTGTGTCCATAAAATGTATATAGTAAGTATAAGCTGAAAGTAGAGGCCTAAGCATTGTTGTTCACTAGTTTACTCCAATTAGGGAAAGGGTGGTGGGGTTGGAAAGTAATAAAGGGGAATATATATAAAAAAAAAAAAGATATGTAGGTATGTATGTATGTATTTTTGTATGTGTGTATGTATGTATGTATGTTTATTTACATTTTACATTTTAGTCATTTAGCAGACGCCCTTATCCAGAGCGACTTACAGTTAGTGAGTACATACATATATATATATATATAAAAAAAACATGGGGGATTGGAAGTGATGCAGACAATTACTTTGATGGAAGTTACAATCTATCTGCAATATTAAGCTGATCTACCCCCCCCCCCCAAAAAATAAATAAATAAATAAACATCTCAAATTTAAATGTGAAGTTCTTATGAGTTCCCTTCAACCTTTCTCCATTCAAAGACTAGTCATCCACATGATTCCAGTGCATGAGGCATACACTCTTCCCTCCATAATTGATGAAGGCAGAGGAACACAGTATAAAAGGCATGAAATAACTATACGTATGTGACAAACGCCTTTCACTGTGAAGGGCTATTCAACTTTTGAAGGTTCTTGGTTATTTTTTTCTTCTGCACAGATACCAAATGCCAAATGATAGAATTAGAACCCTCTCCTTTAAAACCCTTGAAGACCTTTCCTTAAGCTACTTTTCTCCAACTCACAGACCCAAGGCCATCCCTCTTGATACATGGCCAATGACTACTATACTCATTAATATCCTAGGACTTGCATTTTACTTGAGATCCCAGTGTTAAGTCTCAGGAGTAGTGTTTTGTACCCAAGATTAGAAAAATATGACTTTTACTTTGACCTTGGTCTATGACAATGTAGGTTCCTGACAATTTTTGGGATTAGGCTATATTCTCCAATGAACATGTGATTCAGGTTTGTCTCCTTGTTATTCTGCAAGGGGAAAGAAAAGCAGTTATACAGTATACTGCACTACAAGGCTAAACAGATTAGCATTTTTTTTCCTACTTCATTGCAAAACACAGAAAACATGTATATAAAGTAAGCTATTTTCTTGGATTATTTTATTCACACTCATATTGGAGAATTTTCAGGTGTTTAGGCTACATTATGTCATTTATCAGAATAACATTGATGTACACATTGTGAGCCTAGTATTGCCAGAAAATCCTTTTGTTTGTTGTTATCGGAAAGTTCAATTTCAAGCATGCCATTTACTTGGTGTCACTGCATGGCTGCTGTAATCAAAAACATCCCACACTGTTATTGGGTCTCCAATCTGAATTTATATAGCAGAAACATCAGACATGAGCACAGCCACTGACCCATCCCCCACATCATCCCTTATGTAAAAAGAATGTGGCCACACATGATTGCCTGAAATGTATCCAGTCAAGCAGGCAATGGTCTGTTTGAATCAGTGCCAGATCAAGAGATGATTGAGGAATTTATTGTTGCGAGGAGCAGCGCCCATGCTTTACTGCAGGGGAAGCGTAATTTTCACAATGACCGCTGTACTGTGAAACCCACCATCGTTCTATTTGTTAGTGTCTGTTTCACCAGGGAGAAATGAACACAGTTGATGACTGTAATTCTTACTTCCTCCCAATGTTATACAGCCATTACATGGCTATCATAAGTGTAGACTTCATTCTAATACATACTTTGCAATCATTGCATTGGCCCTCAGGACCAGAGTCTGTGCTGAAGCCTTCAATGAGCCTATTTGGCCAGCAACAACCGCTGTTCCAGCCAATGCCTTCTACACATACCCTTGGACCCCCTCCACAGACCCTCAGACCGTCTACACCAGTGGTAGTGGCCCCGGACCCCCTCCTTTTCCCCCTCTACAGCCCTCTGTCTGCCAAACCTCCCACTCACCTCCAGCTGATGCAGGGCCCCCCCTGCCCTGTCCCCTGCCCTGTCCCACCTCCCACTGCCCAGGTGGCCCTCAGCACCATGCCCCAGGAGGAAGAGGCTCAGATCGGGGCCACAGACCAGAACACTACCTTGGATGAGCTGTGTAAGCCTCTGTACTGCAAACTGTGCAACGTCACCCTCAACTCTGCTCAGCAGGCACAGGCCCACTACCAGGTGAGCTGGTTTACTGTACATGTATGTAGCTTGTACCCTAATCTCGTCCACTAGCAGGCTCTCTCTCTGTCTATTTGTGGTAGTAATTGAGCCTGGGGACAATTTTACTTTTAGGCCTACCCCAACACATATATTTTGATGGCAGCAAATGTTTCTCATGCATGTCAACTACACTGAGTGTACAAAGCATTAGGAACACCTGCTCTTTCCATGACATTGACTGACCAGGTGAATCCAGGTGAAAGCTATGATCCCTTATTGGTGTCACTTGTTAATCCACTTCAATCAGTGTAGATGAGACAATTGAGACATGGATTGTGTATGTATGCCATTCAGAGGGTGAATGGACAAGACAAAAGATTTAAGTGCCTTTTAACGGGGTATGGTAGTAGGTTTCAGGCGCACCGGTTTGAGTGTGTTAAGAACTGCAACACTGCTGGGTTTTTCTCGCTCAACAGTTTCCCATGGGTATCAAGAATGGTCCACCACCCAAAGGACATCCAGCCAACTTGACACAACTGTGGGAAGCATTGGAGTCAACATGGGCCAGCATCCCTGTGGAACGCTTTCGACACCTTGTCGAGTCCATGCCCCAACAAATTGAGGGCAAAGGGGGGTGCAACTTAATATTAGGAAGTTGTTCCTAATGTTTTGTTTATTAGGCATGTCAGTCATCACTGTTATCCCTTCATAAATGTAAGTGGAAAACGGAATGCTTAACACTTGCGCTCACTGATGATGCAATGATTTGCAATAGGACACTATGACAATAACAGTGCGATGAGTGGACTGAACTGTGGCTGTGGGATTGAATCATGCATTGTCTCTTCTCCAGGGTAAAAACCACAGTAAGAAGCTGAGAAATTTCTATGCAGTGAGCCAGCAGCTGCCTGCCATCAGGATTCCGGAGGTAATAGAGACAGTTTCCCAGCAACCCCTCACAACTCCAACGACTGACAGTGCAACTCCCAAACAGGTAACGCTTGGCGTTGGCACACAAGGAATGTGTTATTGTTCAGCAAAGTATAATACTGTATGAGCAAGTACAAGGCCTGTGAATTTTCGGCACATTCACTGTTTGGATCTCTGTTTTTGATCTAGAGAACTGCAATCAAATAGGATCTCCTCATTAGAAACATCCATGATGGTTTGTAGAAAACTGTCAGCACTGAAGTTAACTCTTTTGATATGTAGTGTTGGAACTGGCAGGAGTGTCATATAGGCTGGTGAAAGAGCCCTTAGTATAAACTCACTCTTTGTTTTTTGTTCAGCCGGTGTCATTTAAGGGTGCCAGCAGTGTGATCTTAGCCACAGAGAGCGACTACTGCAAGCTGTGTGACGCCTCGTTCAGCTCCCCTGCCGTGGCTCAGGCGCACTACCAGGGCAAGAACCATACCAAGAGACTGCGGCTGGCTGAGGCTCAGCAGAGCAGTAGCATCCTGTGAGTCTGGGTGTTACTACTGCCTCCCCACACACAACCAGGAAGACAAACAACATATGCAATGGCTATTAAACCAACCACACTCAAACACAGAAATCCTTCCTCTTCAGCCATGCCCTGTTATATGAAATTCAATCCAGATATGTTTCAATGCTTCCATTTAAAGAAAAATGCCATAGCTTTTGAAAGATGCATTCCATTATTTTGTCCATCATAGTGACTATTATTGTTAGATTGTTAGCTATTTATGGATTGTTAGATTTATAAACTGCCATATGGGTGACTTTAAAGACTTGCTCTCAGTAATGTGATCCATCCAATTTTCAGAGAGTCGACTGAGTGTGTCCAGAGGCGTCCAAGGAAAGATGGGAGCGAGTACAAGTTGATCAAGAACCGCAGGACCTCACAGGTGCCTCCTGCCATGCCAGGTACAACACACTGAACTAAAGACATAGCGGTAATAAAGTAAGACCAAACAGCAAATAACTTTAAACAATATGTAAGGAAAAATTTGTTGTTATTCCACAATTTTGCTGTAAAGATCAGATGTAAGTAAAGTAAGTAAGCCTTGTCTGAGCCAGAACGGCCCATAAATATCAGATGAATTCAGGGATATTCATAGTCTTGAGGAGATACAGTATATGTTTGAGGATAGATGTGGTTGCCCATTTCCTTTTCATTGATACCAATGAAGCCTTTGACGGCTGGTGAATGAGACTGAAATGCATGTGAATATGTATGAAATTTAAATATCACATGTCCAGGCAGCCAGCAGGTGGAGGCAATTGTTTTTGCTCCATGGTCGAAGCAGCAGTGAAAACCCCTCTCTCATCACCACCTTTGCCAGGGAAATGTCGTAGGAAGGTTGAGGGGGTGGCCGAGGCTGAGGCTGGTCATTCACTGTGAACTCACTAAGCACAATACAGCAACCCACGCCCGCTCTGCTGCCCCACAGACACAGCCTGCTCAGGTGGCAGGTGTCCATCAGACAGAGCCCTCACAGTCCACTGTCCATCCTTGTACCACTCTCCGAGGTGTCTCAGGAGATGCGTATTAATACACATTTGTACATGTGTGAAATAGGACAAATACAGTAGCTTGTGAAGGTATTCACCCCCCTTGGCATTTTTCCTATTTTGCTCCCTTACAACCTGGAATTAAACATGGATTTTTGGGGGGTTTGTATCATTTGATTTACACAACATGCCTACCACTTTGAAGATGCAACATATTTTTTGTGTGTGAAACAAACAAGAAATAAGACAAAAAAACTGAACTTGAGCATGCATAACTATTCACCACCCTCAAAGTCAATACTTTGTAGAGCCACCTTTTGCAGCAATTACAGCTGCAAGTCTCTTGGGGTATGTCTCTTGGCACATCTAGCCACTGGGATTTTTGCCCATTCTTCAAGGCAAAACTGCTCCAGCTTCTTCAAGATGGATGGGTTCCGTTGGTGTACAGCAATCTTTAAGTCATACCACAGATTCTCAATTGGATTGAGGTCTGGGCTTTGACTAGGCCATTCCAAGACATTTAAATGTTTCCCCTTAAACCACTCGAGTGTTGCTTTAGCAGTATGCTTAGGGTCATTGTCCTGCTGGAAGGTGAACCTCCGTCCCAGTCTCAAATCTCTGGAAGACTGAAACAGGTTTCCCTCAAGAATTTCCCTGTATTAAGCGCCATCCATCATTCCTTCAATTCTGACCAGTTTCCCAGTCCCTGCCGATGAAAAACATCCCCACAGCATGATGCTGCCACCACAATGCTTCACTGTGCCCAACCCAACCCTGATCTGTGCTTCTCCACAACTTTGTCCCTGACCTGTTTGGAGAGCTCCTTGGTCTTCATGGTGCCGCTTGCTTGGTGGTGCCCCTTGCTTAGTGGTGTTGCAGACTCTGGGGCCTTTCAGAACAGGTGTATATATACTGAGATCATGTGACAGATCATGTGACACTTAGATTCCACACAGGTGGACTTTATTTAACTAATTATGTGACTTCTGAAGGTAATTGGTTGCACCAGATCTTATTTAGGGGCTTCATAGCAAAGGGGGTGAATACATATGCACGCCCCACCTTACCGTTATTTTTTTTAAATAATTTTTTGAAAAATGTATTTTTTTTCATTCCACTTCACCAATTTTGACTATTTTGTGTATGTCCATTACATGAAATCCAAACACATATCCATTTAAATTACAGGTTGTAATGCAACAAAATAGGAAAAACGCCAAGGGGGATGAATACTTTTGCAAGGCACTGTTTAAGCGCCATCCAAATGATTATTATTATTATCCCCCGCCCACCACCCCACTCCACATAGCCTACACCATGGCCTAATCCCCCTGGATTAATCATAGGACACCCCCTCCGTTCTCTTCCCCTCCCTCAGGGCTCAGAGACTTTGCTGATTTAATTCCAGAAATAGAGTTGTGTGACACTCTCTCTCAGAGAAATGTTTACTCTACAAGGACCCGTGATGTTTGCCTCCAGCCATACACGCAGATACAGCAGAGCATCTATTCTCTGACCAACATACAGTACATCTCCCTTTTTCTAATGAGTGACACATTTGTGTTTCTTCTTGTAACATTCATATGGCCATAGCAGTGGAAAGCTCCTCCTGTTTATGCACAGCCAGTCTTCCATTCCCAGCAGTGCCTGGCATCTACAGTGAGGGAAAAAACTATTTGATCCCCTGCTGATTTTGTACGTTTGCCCACTGACAAAGAAATGATCAGTCTATAATTTTAATGGTAGGTTTATTTGAACAGTGAGAGACAGAATAACAACAAAAAAATTCAGAAGAACGCATGTCAAAAATGTTATAAATTGATTTGCATTTTAATGAGGGAGATAAGTATTTGACCCCCTCTCAATCAGACAGATTTCTAGCTCCCAGGTGTCTTTTATACAGGTAACGAGCTGAGATTAGGAACACACTCTTAAAGGGAGTGCTCCTAATCTCAGTTTGTTACCTGTATAAAAGACACCTGTCCACAGAAGCAATCAATCAATCAGATTCCAAACTCTCCACTATGGCCAAGACCAAAGAGCTCTCCAAGGATGTCAGGGACAAGATTGTAGACCTACACAAGGCTGGAATGGGCTACAAGACCATCGCCAAGCAGCTTGGTGAGAAGGTGACAACAGTTGGTGCGATTATTCGCAAATGGAAGAAACACAAAAGAACTGTCAATCTCCCTCGGCCTGGGGCTCCATGCAAGATCTCACCTCATGGAGTTGCAATGATCATGAGAATGGTGAGGAATCAGCCCAGAACTACATGGGAGGATCTTGTCAATGATCTCAAGGCAGCTGGGACCATAGTCACCAAGAAAACACACTACGCCATGAAGAACTGAAATCCTGCAGTGCCCGCAAGGTCCCCCAGCTCAAGAAAGCACATATACAGGGCCGTCTGAAGTTTGCCAATGAACATCTGAATGATTCAGAGGAGAACTGGGTGAAAGTGTTGTGGTCAGATGAGACCAAAATCGAGCTCTTTGGCATCAACTCAACTCGCCGTGTTTGGAGGAGGAGGAATGCTGCCTATGACCCCAAGAACACCATCCCCACCGTCAAACATGGAGGTGGAAACATTATGCTTTGGGGGTGTTTTTCTGCTAAGGGGACAGGACAACTTCACCACATCAAAGGGACGATGGACGGAGCCATGTACCGTCAAATCTTGGGTGAGAATCTCCTTCCCTCAGCCAGGGCATTGAAAATGGGTCGTGGATGGGTATTCCAGCATGACAATGACCCAAAACACACGGCCAAGGCAACAAAGGAGTGGCTCAAGAAGAGGCACATTAAGGTCCTGGAGTGGCCTAGCCAGTCTCCAGACCTTAATCCCATAGAAAATCTGTGGAGGGAGCTGAAGGTTTGAGTTGCCAAACGTCAGCCTCGAAACCTTAATGACTTGGAGAAGATCTGCAAAGAGGAGTGGGACAAATCCCTCCTGAGATGTGTGCAAACCTGGTGGCCAACTACAAGAAACGTCTGACCTCTGTGATTGCCAACAAGGTTTTTTTATTTTTTATTTTTTTTATTTTTATTATTATTTTTTTTTTTTCTGGGGGGATGGATCAGCTTAATATTGCAGATAGATTGTATCTTCTATCAATGTAATTGTCTGCATCACTTCCAATCCCCCATGTTTATTTTTTATTTTTTATATATATATATTCCCCTTTATTACTTTTCAACCCCACCATCCTTTCCCTACTTGGAGTAAATTAGTGAACAACAACGCCCAGGCCTCTACTTCCGGTCTATAATTACTATCTACACCTTATGGACAGAGTTAATTTTACAATAATTCTATATCCATATATATATATATATATATATATATATATATATATATATATATATATATATATATATATATATATATATATATTTATTTATTTTTTTGCTCCTGAACTTCTTCTACTCTCAACCTCTCCGATCATTTTCATGATGTCCATCCGGTTTGCTTCTAAATGCCATATCTTTCTAACTGTGCTCTTTCCCAAAAGCTCCCAACATACAACCTATATACTTATTATGGACACAGTATGCTTACATTATTAGCTATCTTTGTTATTATTTGTTGTTATTTGTTATTAGTCCCATCCTTCAACTCTATTCAATACCTCCCATCTATCTCTTAACACCATCCATATAGGATTTCTATTTGCCATATATATTTCAACCATACTGTGATGTTTTACAAAAGTTCTGAACCTTTCTATTCTCATTGCTTCTACAGATTGTGAATTAAAAATAAACATTTTTGCTAAAAGTATTATTATATTATTGATTGATTGACTATGACTTTTCAGATCACCCAGTAATGCTATCTGCAAGGTTAGTTCCAGGTAAATATTGCAATCCTTTAGCCATTCCTGGACCTGTGTCCAAAAACAAGCTACAAATGGACAGAACCAAAACAAATGATCTAATGATTCTATCTCTTCACAGCAAAATCTGCAGAGCTGGGAAGATTGTATCCCCCATATAAATAACATTCTATTGGTAGCAAGAATTTTATATAATAATTTAAATTGAAAGATTCTAATTTTTGAATCCGGTGTCGTTTTGCGTGTCAGTTCATAAACACTATGCCATGGGATTGGTACGTCAAAGATCTCTTCCCAACTATTTTGCAATCTATATACAAGGGTTTTGCCACCAAGTACTAAGTCATGTTTTGCAGAGGGGTCAAATACTTATTTCCCTCATTAAAATGCAAATCAATTTATAACATTTTTGACATGCGTTTTTCTGGATTTTGTTGTTGTTATTCTGTCTCTCACTGTTCAAATAAACCTACCATTAAAAGTATAGACTGATCATGTCTTTGTCAGTGGGCAAACGTACAAAATCAGCAGGGGATCAAATACTTTTTTCCCTCACTGTATCTGCCACTCCCATCTTTTCACACTGTGTTCACTGGTGAGCAGCAGCTCAACACTCACTCCCTCACTCACTCTCCATCATTTTAATGAGGTTATCCTCTCCTCTTATGGTGTGTACGTCTTGATGTGTGTTCCAGCCCCCTACTACAACCCCCGGCCCAGGCAGAGGATCCCCAGGGACCTGGCCATGTGTGTGACGCCCAGCGGCCAGTTCTACTGCTCCATGTGCAATTCTGGGGCCAGCGAGGAAGCCAACTTCCGCCTTCACCTGGAGAGTAAGCAGCACAAGAGCAAGGTGTCGGAGCAGCGCTACCGCAGCGAGATGGAGAATCTGGGCTACACTTAGGAGGGCAGCGCCGCAGCACAGGGGAGGAGAGTGGAATGGGGTGGGGGTTGTTCACACTGAATTTTGCCAATAGTATAGAAAAAGAAACACCAGACTGTGGGGTATTTGGGAAGTTTATCTGATAATCGGTTTCCTTCCCCCGGTTTAAACCTTGTTATTACTTGAGTTTGAGTAGCTGAACATTGCTATGTTTAGTAGAGGAAAGCAAAGTTATATTACATGCTTCTACCAGACCAGGTGAATGTACTGTGAATGCGATGACAATTATTTGCACAAACAAGTGATAGGTATTTTTTCAAGTGTAAAAATCTGACAGACTGTTCTCTTTCCTCATTTGTGTTTACATGGGTTTCGTACGACTCCAAGCATCTTGGACATGCCAGTAAACTCAACCTCTTGTCCTGGGATGCTATAAAAGCCAGCTGCTGTAAGCCCTTGACTTCCCTATGGGAGGTCAGCTTTTCGAAGAGCAGAGTACCTCAGGAGAATATAGAGCTGGACAGAGCAGGACTAGCTTTAATTGGGGGATTTAGGGTAATTTCCACATGGCCTCTACTCTGTTTCATTTAATGAAAAGGGAGTTTAGGCAGTTCAAAACCCAATTTGTTCAGAGGAGGAACACTTGAGTTCATATTCCTATATATCTGCCCCTTAATCCAATGCATGTGTACAAGTAAATCTAGGCATTCATTGTCTGGTTCTTTTTTTTTCAGTCATAGAAAAATGATCGCTCGTTAACATTGTATTCACTCTGGCTCTCAGATAATGTGCTTTTTTGTGTCATAAATGCTCTTGTAACCTATTTTAATATGGCATTTTTTGTTGCTCTAGACCATAGTTTCTTTGTTTTAATTTAACATTGCCTTTTAATTTATAAGATTGACTGTATTTCGTTTTCTATTTATGTTTTTATAGACAAATACAGTGGGGAAAAAAAGTATTTAGTCAGCCACCAATTGTGCAAGTTCTCCCACTTAAAAATATGAGAGAGGCCTGTAATTCTCATCATAGGTACACGTCAACTATGACAGACAAATTGAGATTTTTTTTCTCCAGAAAATCACATTGTAGGATTTTTTATGAATTTATTTGCAAATTATGGTGGAAAATAAGTATTTGGTTACCTACAAAAAGCAAGATTTCTGGCTCTCACAGACCTTTAACTTCTTCTTTAAGAGGCTCCTCTGTCCTCCACTGTATTAATGGCACCTGTTTGAACTTGTTATCAGTATAAAAGACACCTGTCCACAACCTCAAACAGTCACACTCCAAACTCCACTATGGCCAAGACCAAAGAGCTGTCAAAGGACACCAGAAACAAAATGGTAGACCTGCACCAGGCTAGGAAGACTGAATCTGCAATAGGTAAGCAGCTTGGTTTGAAGAAATCAACTGTGGGAGCAATTATTAGGAAATGGAAGACATACAAGACCACTGATAATCTCCCTCGATCTGGGGCTCCACGCAAGTTCTCACCCCGTGGGGTCAAAATGATCACAAGAACGGTGAGCAAAAATCCCAGAACCACACGGGGGGACCTAGTGAATGACCTGCAGAGAGCTGGGACCAAAGTAACAAAGCCTACCATCAGTAACACACTACGCCGCCAGGGACTCAAATCCTGCAGTGCCAGACGTTTCCCCCTGCTTAAGCCAGTACATGTCCAGGCCCGTCTGAAGTTTGCTAGAGTGCATTTGGATGATCCAGAAGAGGATTGGGAGAATGTCATATGGTCAGATGAAACCAAAATATAACTTTTTGGTAAAAACTCAACTCGTCGTGTTTGGAGGACAAAGAATGCTGAGTTGCATCCAAAGAACACCATACCTACTGTGAAGCATGGGGGTGGAAACGTCATGCTTTTGGGGCTGTTTTTCTGCAAAGGGACCAGGACGACTGATCTGTGTAAAGGAAAGAATGAATGGGGCCATGTATCGTGAGATTTTGAGTGAAAACCTCCTTCCATCAGCAAGGGCATTGAAGATGAAACGTGGCTGGGTCTTTCAGCATGACAATGATCCCAAACACACCGCCCGGGCAACGAAGGAGTGGCTTCGTAAGAAGCATTTCAAGGTCCTGGAGTGGCCTAGCCAGTCTCCAGATCTCAACCCCATAGAAAATCTTTGGAGGGAGTTGAAAGTCCGTGTTGCCCAGCGACAGCCCCAAAACATCACTGCTCTAGAGGTGATCTGCATGGAGGAATGGGCCAAAATACCAGCAACAGTGTGTGAAAACCTTGTGAAGACTTACAGAAAACGTTTGACCTGTGTCATTGCCAACAAAGGGTATATAACAAAGTATTGAGAAACTTTTGTTATTGACCAAATACTTATTTTCCACCATAATTTGCAAATAAATTCATAGAAAATCCTACAATGTGATTTTCTGGATTTTCTTTTCTCATTTTGTCTGTCATAGTTGACGTGTACCTATGATGAAAATTACAGGCCTCTCTCATCTTTTTAAGTGGGAGAACTTGCACAATTGGTGGCTGACTAAATACATTTTTCCCCCACTGTAGTTGGAGAAAAATCTTATCTAATGTAGGGGGGAGCTTCATGTGCAACATCTCTTTATTTGTATACACTTGATTATGTTTTAATATTTCACTGTATAAATTATGTTTGTGCAATGTACATAAGTGCATGATATTATGAGAATATAAATAAAAAAAGTAGCAGGCTGCTCCAGCCGTAGACAACATTGCACGATTACATAAATTGCTTTAATTATTGTTATTTGTTAAAGTTCTATTGATGTGTCTCAATCTGATTTGTATCAAATGTTTACAGAGAGTGGTCTAAAGGGAAGTTGATCACATTTCATGTTGGATCCATCCACATGTTGCCCGTTCCTTAAACCTCATTTGTCTTGTATTGCGATGGCCTACTGGAGCTCTCCCAGTAATCTCATCTCCACTTTTTTCAAGCTGTTTTAATACATATTCATGGGAGTTAAAACCACTCATTAAATGGGCTATATTGATTATGTTACACATTAAGTGATCTATATCGTTCAGCTTAACCACCCAGAGCAAAGAAGCTTTTTCTATCTGGAACTAGCACAACAGGGGAATTAACCACTTTCATCATGCTATGTAACATACCTCTTAAAATGGGAGTGTGTATCTCACAGAGAAAACTTCAAGGAAGTTCCTCAGAGTATACAGCATGGGTGTGAGTGCAATTCATGAGTCCAATGTGAGTAGTCATCTCATTCGATGCCCTATTTCTGTTTTAGTAAGTGGAGCTGTGTTTGACTGCTGCTACACATCCATCAATGCTAGTTTTATGGCTGTGGCTCTGTCCTCTGAGGCATTAGGCAGGAGCCATTCCTTGCTGGGCGTAGTGTAGTGCTGAAGCAGCACTTCTGTTTGCCGCTCTATCAGGGAGTGTGACCCGGCATGGGAACAGGCCACACCCCAGGGAGATCCACACAGGTGCAACAAACCAAATGGACCTCTCTGTGTACTCAGACCATTGTTGATTTCCCACTCTCCTCTCCTCCACCAATATATTATTGTCAGCTATGCATGGTTGGCTCTGAGTTTGGCTCTCTTTATCTGTTGTTCAGAAATATAATTTCTCTAAAATAGATGGATTTATAAATGTCAAAAGAAGTTAACTGTATCTAGGGATAAGGGATGAAAATAAGGGATAGCAGCAGTGCCTTTCTAATGCCACACAATCATCTAATCTCATGGCTGCCTTCGGCACAAACATGATTCTCAAGAACAATCAACTTTATTTCTGGTGCAATAATGCAAATGTGGGATCCCAAGGTCCCAATTAAATTGGATTGACTTTCCTTTAGAGAACGTAATTGTGTAATGTCTTCAATGTACTTATATTTGAAGAATAATAGAATGACAACAGTTGTTTTAGAAACAATTGGAACACTTATTTTGGTCATGGTACAATATTGACTAACTATTTAATAAAAAAATGTCATACTTGTTATTTGTCCGGATGTATTGAGTTGAGAAACTGGGTTGGGGATTGGGTGTTGCATGGGGGGAGTGCCAGTGCATGTGTGAGAGAATGTGTGTATGGACACATTGTATGACAGGGTCAGCTGACAAACTTGTGTTCCTCCGTTAATATGGTGGTCTACAGAGTATACCCCCAGGCATAAATATTGCTCTAATACTCACTTTTATTGTAATTAAGAATATAATATCTTTCTGAACACTTCTACATTAATGTTGATGCTACCATGATTACGGATAATCATGAATGAATTGTGACTAATGATGAGTGAGAAAGGTACAGATGCACAAAGATTATGTCCCGTAAACCTGTTAACCTCTCACCATTACCAATTACAGGGGAGGTTAGCATTTGTTGGGGTGGTATGATATTTATGCCTCTGTAACTTTCTCATTCATCATTATTTATGATTCAGTCATGATTATCCGTAATCATGGTAGCATCCACATTAATGTAGAAGTGTTCAGAAATAAAAGGTGCTGTTTTATAGCTAATCTCATGCTATTTTACACATTTTACCAAGAGGCTGAGACACAGTGTTGCTTTTTTAGCACTCAGGGATTCTTGAAAGACGGGACAAAACATTTAAAGGAAAAACCAAATGTTTTAAAAATAAATAAACATAAAAATAAATAACTGGATTTATGTCAACTCCGTCAGACACCATAAAAGCCATTTAATTTGTACAATGATTGTCCAACAAATGTTTAAAGGCCTTGATTGTTTAATTCTAACATTAGATTATTCAAATATTTAATACAACTCTCCAAACTTTTTTTTGTTTTGTTTTATAGCATTAATGCTCCAGGGCCAATTTTGTTAGCATTTTGGCATGTTTTTCTAGATTTAGAACATAAAACAACATTTATAAACCAAACATTAGCTTATCCCTAAGGGCTAGCACAGCAAATATTTCAATCATTTAAGCATATGTTGCAGAACAGTGAATAAAATATAATTTCAGAATATTATCTATTTTAAGTGGGTTAGCCATCAGTGACGGAGTTGACAAGCCACTGAGGGAGTTGACAACAGATTCTCAAAACAGGCATATTTTTGTAAAATTCTAT